CTGCGTAAGGAGACCGCATCAGGTGATATACATCTCATTTTGAATGGCCATTTCGACCTATCATCCTTCCCTTGTTAGCATCGCACGTTCAGCCATAGTCCACCTTCTGCCAGAACTTCCTGCCATTTCTGCACCTTGCCCTGAGGCCTTCTCTGCTATCCGCTACTAGAGCGATGTCGTCGACATATAGAATAGTCTTGAAGACCAGTTACGCTATGGGGCACTTCGGTAGCGTAACTGGTAGCGCACTTGCCCGGAAAGCGGGAGGTGCGGGTTCTAGTCCCGCCTGGGGCGAAAGTTTTGTTCACAACCCAGCATTCTTGTGAAACGAAGAGAGCCAATATCCTCATCTGACCCTATGAGTGCACAGTCAAGCTGAAGTTCATTCCTATGAGATCGACCCTCATTTCGATTCCCACTTGCGCCACTACTTACTTCCCAGTTAAGTGAAAGTACAATTAATTCTAGCAGTACCTGATGTATTGAAGAATTGGCGGCAGTACGGTTCTTGCTCGTTCCCTCGCTGCCGCTTTGACGTCAAAATGACGTCAGCAGTACGCGAACGCGCCCGCGCCGCCGGTGAGCTTTCCTCTTGAGCCGCTCTTGTGAACTTAGCTTCTCTCCTCTTGAAGTTTTCTTCAACCCTAAGGTAGCAATCTTCTCAGGAGCCAGTATAAATTCTTACCAAATTCTTTCTTCTTGAAGGAACACTAAAGCTAAAGCTGTCTTTGCACGTTTGCAGAACGAGCTAAACTTGGCAATAGATAAGAAGGGAGCGAGTAAGCGGTCAGGTTTTGATCACTTTGACCGAATTCACCGCTTAATTAGTCGAGTGTTGTGGTTTTGAAAAGGTGAACGTGCAGAGTTCGGGCGGAGAAGTGTGCGTATGTGCTGGTGTTGTGTTTTGCGTGTTACGCGACGTTGTAATGAGGGGCACAGGAGGTGGAACACAGCGAATACTAAGCTGAACCTTCGGATCGATCGATTCTCATTGTGAGCAGAGCAGGATGTCGACTGGTGATTTACCTCCACGTTTTCAACTAGCCCTCAGACGTTCACTATTCTTCGGAATATGCTTTTGTTTTTGGCTTCTCGTCGGTACGCTCTGCTTCTCTTTACTATCCGCGGTCGGACAAAGACGGGTACGGTATGCTGGGCTCTGTTTGCCGTCTTTTGTTAGTTTCTTTTACATTAATAAACGAATAGAAAGCTTGACATAACCAAAAAATCGTAGCAGCATTCAGAAGAAAAATTGAAGACAGTAATCCCCACTTTGTCGCTCAATAATCTTCGGTATCGTGAACCGAAAAGTATTTTCTTTTATGCGAATCGAGGTTACTGAATCTTCACAGAATTCTCAGAACATTGTGGCTTTCACGGCGCAATCAGAAAATGAGATTCATTTACCCTTTGGCAGCAAAACTGTTTAAAGACACGAGCGAGTGCTCCGCTCCACCGGCAGAAGCTCTGGTGAGTCTAATGATCTCATTACTGGGTTATTCGGTAGTTTTCTCAACGACGAATAACCTCAACGGACGCCGTAAACAGCTGCGAAGTTGAGCAATAGGTCGGGTAGCTCGTAAAATCGAAAATTTCAAAACATCTCCATAAAATTCTCTAAAAAGTGCAAAAAATTGATATGGAGCCATCCTATAAGACTTTTATATAGCAACCTCGATTGGCATTAAAAAAACATTACTTAAATACTACCAACTGGAAGTTTAGTTCCTTCTTGGGAATGAAAGACGCATTCGCGTTTCTTCTACTCTTCTTCATTGTATCACTCTCCTGAAATAATACAAATATCTTTTAAACTGTGTCGATTTGAGAAGTAAATCGAGTGCTCGGTATAGGATGAAGTGGTGCTCCGGTTTCACAGTCTGTTACGCCAGAGGGCTACTTGCTATTACTACGTAACTATTACTGATTCTTGTTTGCGAATGATTCTTATCTAAACAGAAATGAATCTGGACTCGGAAGGCACACGCGTTACTCTTTTCAGAAGTTTTCTGCAATAGGTTTCTTTTGGAGGGCTCAACATGAAATGATTTTCGGGAACGAAATGTGCTGCCATCGAGATGTATTGTTTCCACCACTAATTTTTAATTTTTTTCCCATAGTGTGATGTGGATCTAGCAGGAAAACAATAATCCAAAGAACTCTGTAGGGGTAGGGTTCGTGAATCGTTTCTCGATTCTGTCTAATACATGACGGACGGCGTGCATCACATGGTGGTGCACGCGATACCGAAGGGTACTTGTTTTGCTTGATTTTCTTTGGCGTTCTTCATGCTCGATCATATTTTAAAAGTATTCGTTTACATTATGGATACAAGAATGCATGGGACTTCTTTTGGTCGAGGTTTATCTAACTTTAGTGTTTTGTATTCAATAGACAAATTTCAAAAATCAAATACTTTTTTTCTAAATCGGATAATTTTTGATTAACGCTGAATTGTGTTCAGACGGATGTTGGTGGAATGGTCAAATTGGATGCGAAGCGCACGGAACTTCTC